TAATAATAATATTTTTAGTTACTTTAATTAATCGATTTCAAATTGAATAAATCAACAATTAAAGTTTAAAAAATTTCTTAACCATTAACAAATTCAATATCGAATTACCAATTGATTAACAGAACAAAATTTCGATTCGATCAGTTAATTAAATAAAACGAACAATGAACACTTATACTAGGCTTGTCTTTATCACGTTTTAATAATTATTTTGACTTTTTTATGGGATTTTTACTTGTTTATTCATATATTTAACATATAATTTATTGAATTAGGATTCAAATGGCTCAACATGCAACTTTGGGCTTATCTTGAATTTGCTCATTAATAAGTTATGAACATTTCTTGTTATAATAGAGGGACTAATTTACACTTAAACCTCTGTTATAAGGACCCACAAAGTAGTTTAACCTAATCTTTTAGTTTAAAACTTTCACTAGAATGCTGCTAATGAGGCCCGAAGGTTTCAGGGCGAGGATGGATACTCTAAAAATTTGAAATTTCTATATAATTTAGATTTTTTTATATATAATTTGTTAAAAATTCGTTTTCTTCTCCTATAATTTTATAAATTCATCCATTTCTAACATAAAATGAGAAATGGATGGATCTCGAGATTTATATGAACATGGATAGTAAAATAGAGATGATTTTAATCTTACGAAAACAATTTTAAATTTTATATCTACAGCATCTCATGAGATAAGGGGGAAAAATAAAAAAAATATATTCAAATGTATTAATAACTAGAGAGGTAAACGAACCGAGTTGAGTTCGAATATTATTGAGTTCGATTCGATTCAAAAACTTTAAAATATAGCTCGACTGGTCTCGAAAACTTGAGAGCCTAAAATTTTCAAGCTCGACTCGAATTCTAAACCAAGAATTGAAGCTTGAAAAAGCTCAAAATAAGGGGAAAATTCTTAAATTTAACTTGATTGAAGCTCGAACTCGAATCTGAACCTTAAGTACATGAAAACCATATATTGCTTTTTTTTCTTTAAAAAATCAACCCATAAATATTAATATTATTAATAATTTTTTTAAAAAATAAAATTCAATATATTATTTTTTCGAGTTGTTCGCGAGCTTTTCGAGTCGAGTAGCTCGTTTCGGTTCGTTAAGAACTCGAGTCGAGATTGAGCTCAAGTCGAGCCTATTCAATTTAGTATTTATCGAACTTTGACCAAGTCAATATCAAGTAGCTCATAATCTGTCTCGTCTCATTTACAACATTATTAATAACATAAATTTTTCTTATGAACGAACATAATAAAATTTTAAAATTTACATCATCAATAAAATAGATAATCAACCTAACTAAATTAGGATTTCAAGCTAGCTCCGTGTACACCTAAATAACACCCAAGTCTGCCACTGATCTAATGTGATAGGAAAATGTACATACAAGAGCTAAAATCATCCAATTCATATACATATTAGCTGTAACCATATAGAAATATACAACATCTTCGTCTTCCCCAAGAATCCTTTCCTTGAACGTCATTGAAGAAAAAGCTAAAAAAGCTCTGATTTTTAGAACCCTTTTTTCTTTTCTGTTTATGGATCCAAAATACTAATTCATTCTTTCCAGGTAAACCCTGTTTTTAATTGGTCAGTTACGTTGAATCACACATTCAAACATGGCAGCAGCCTTGTTCAGTAAGCTCTACTTGAGAGCTTTGGTCTTATTCACATGGCTACTTGTTTCTTCACTCGGTAACACCTTACTGAGCTGCAAAAATACATCTCCAGATACATTGGGGTTCCATTGCAGCAGCTTAAATGGATCCGATGACGACGAATGCGGCACGTTCGCCGTGCTTCGGACTAATTCATATTATTCATCTCTTTCCAATATGAGCTTTTATTTAGGCCTCAACCGATTTGCAATTGCTGAAGCCAATGGCTTCTCTGCAATAATCGAGTTTCTTCCAAGAGATCAGCCTTCGTTGTTGCCAATTGATTGCAAATGCAGCAATGGTTTCTTCCATGCTGACTTGACGAAAACTACGATCAAAAGAGAGCTTTTATGGTATTGCCGAGTCACTTGAAGGCTTGACAACCTGCAGAGCCATTCGAGAGAAGAATCCCGGTGTTTCGCTGTGGGGTCTCAATGACAATGTCCGGCTAGTGGTCCCGTTACGATGCGCAAGTCCATCGGCATTGAATGAATCGCTTGTAGTTTCTTACCCTGTAAGTCAAGGTGATGCAATATCTAACTTGGCTATTGCATTCAATACAACTGCAGAAGCCATAATATCTGCAAATAACAGATCTTTAGGGGTCTTTGAACCTGAAAACTTAGTACTTTTTACATCTCTTTTGATTCCACTTGAAGACGAGCCTGTTCTCGGTTCACCATCGGAGCCTCGTGAGCCGAATCTGCATTCTTCAGGAACAAGCATCCCAATAATTAATCCCCATGAAGAAAAGCCTTGGATTCGGAATGTTGGATTTATATTGCTTTGAGTGGGATTCTAGTAGGAGCCATCATTGCTGGTGCAACAACTTTCATGATGATCCAATTGAAGAACAAGAAGACACTAAACATAAGCAAGGAGGGAGATGTGGAACTACAGCAGCATAGTTTAAGAGCTGCAAGTGAGAATAAAGTATCATTTGAGGGATCCCAGAATTGTGTAGATGGTCGGATTTTCGACAGTGTTATGTCCTGTAATGCGCAGGTAGAGGTTTACACCATAGAGGAGCTGAGAAAAGCTACCGAGGAATTCAATCCGAGTAATCATATGGAGGGAAGTGTGTATCATGGTCGTCTCAACGGGAAAAGCTTGGTGATAAGGCACATGAGAACCGAGAATATATCAAAGGTTGAGCTTGGATTCTTTAATTATGCAACTCATCAGCACCCAAACATTATTAGATTGCTGGGGAAATGTGTAACCGAGGGCTCGAATTCGTTTTTAATGTTCGAATATGTGAAAAATGGCTCCTTGAAGGACTGGCTACATGGTGGATTAGTAATGAAAAACCAGTTCATAGCCTCCTGTCACTGTTTTTTGACTTGGAAGCAAAGGCTGAGGATCTGTCTTGATGTAGCAGTGGCATTTCAGTTTATGCAACTTGATCTTGAGTCTTCACAAACTTGAGCTCCACTTCTTTCTTGACGATTTGTTCTCTGATAAAATGATATATGGTGTCAATATGTTTGCTTCGATCATGGAACACTGGATTCTCTGCAGGTGCTTGTTCAGACTTGTTATCAATACAAATTTTAGTAGGTCATTCTTGTGGTAAGTGAAGTTCTTTCACTAATCATTTAAGCCAAATAGCATGACAAGTACAAGAAGTTGCTGCCACATTCAGTTTCACATGTAGAAAGAGTCACAATGTGTTGTTTTTTCGAACTCCAAGAGATGCAATAATCTCCCAAGAAGAACACAAATCCAGAGGTATTTTTTCTATCGTCAATGTCTCCGGAAAAATCACTATCACAAAATCCCATGAATTGAAAGTCATGAGAAGATGTGTAGAATAACCCAAAAACAATAACACCTTTTAGATAACGAAGAATCCTTTTAGCGACCATCAAGTGAATTGACGTAGGAACTTCCATGTAGCGACTCACTACACCAGTTGCAAATAGGATCTCTGGTCTTGTACAAGTCAAATACCTCAAACTTCCCACAAGACTTTTAAAAAGAGTTGTATCTTCCTTTGTTCCATCATCGAACTTTGACAACTTTACTATATACTCCATCGGGGTATCAACAGGATTACAATCAAACATTTTGAATTTCTTCATTACTTCTTTTCTATAACTCTTTTGCGAGATGAATATATCATCCTCTGATTGTTCCACTTCTAGGTCCAAATAATAAGACATTAGACCCACATCAATCATCTCGAACTCAAACGACATATGTTTCTTGACTTCTTCAATTAACTTGGGATTATTACTTGTAATGACCAAATCATCCACGTAAAGGCAAACTATCAAAATGTCTCCACCATCGTTTGTTTTAATATAGAGTGCATGTTCATGAAGACAACGATCAAAACCATTATCTTGAAAATTCTTGTCGATGCGACTATACCATGCAAGAGGTCTTGTTTCAACCCATATAATGCCTTTTTTCAGCTTTAGACATTTATCTTCTTGTCCATTGACTTTGTATCTAGTGAGTTGCTCAATATAAACTTCCTCTTCTAAGAAACCATTAAGAAATGATGATTTCACATCAAATTGATGATTTTTCACTTCTTTTGAGCCACCAGGGAGATAATCATTCGAATGGTTTCAATTCAAGCAACCAGTGCAAAGAATTCATCATAATCGACCCCATGCTTTTCCTTATAATCTTTAACAACAAGTATTGCTTTGTATCTCACCACTTCTCCACTCGCATTCTTTTTTTACTTGAAAATCCACTTAACTCTGATAGTTATATGACCTTTTAAAAGTTCCGATAACTCCCAAGTATTGTTCTTCTCAATGAATTTTATTTCTTCATAATTCAAGGAGTTGTCCTAAACTCAAAATATTACTTTTTAACTTAGGCACATAATAAACATCAGTAATAAGGCTATGGCTGTCATCCTTTAGAGAAATTAAAATAGTACTTTTCCCTTGAATTTGGATCTTCGAGGAATCCCCAAATGAAACAGTGCCTTTAAATTTCTCATCAAGTTTCACAAAAACCTCTTTGTCTCCGCACATGTGATTACTCTCTCCATTGTCAAGATACCAAGTACTTGCATCATTGTTCTCTTCCTTCTTGAGTGCTAGCAATAAGGTTGTCTCTTCAACATCTTGTTGATCTTCAATGAGATTAACTCTCTCTTCATTTCTACTTTCATTTTTGGCATTCCCAAGAAAAATTACTAAATTTATGACAATTATAACATTTAATATTGGACTTGTCATACCTCATTTCAATTGATCTTTGATGATTAAATCTTCCTCTTTACCTTGATCTTTCTTGATGATGAACTTACATCATTGCTTGTACGATCTTCACGAGCACTTTTTCCATATCTTATTTGGCCAAAACTTCGACCTCGTTCACATCCTCAACCCTTTCGATTCTTTTCTGAATGTTTTTCAAAGACACCTTGGCTTTGAAGACTTGTTCAATGGACTCATCTTGTCTCCTATTGAATCTGTCTTCTTGGGCTTGCAACTCACCCATAACTTGTTCAATAGTCATAGAGTCTATATCCTTTGATTCAATAACACAATCCACATAATCAAATTTTAGAGTAAAAAATGAAGGATCTTTTCAATCACACGAACATCTTCTAAGGTTTCTCTGTATCTCTTCATTTGATTGACAATGATCATCTCTCTTGAGTAATAATCTGAAATTGACTCGGATTCCTTTATCCGCAAGGTTTCAAACTCACATTGCAACACTTGGAGTCGAACTTTCTTCACTTTATCAACTCCATGGAGAGAATTTTGTAAAATCTCCCATGCTTCCCTTACGGTGTTGGCGTTTGCCACTTTTACAAACATCGAATCATCCAGACATTGGTGGATGAGAGTAAGAGCTTGTTGATCCTTCTTTCTTGTCTTCGTCAAAGCCTCCTTTTCTTGTTGTGATAATGAAGCCTCGTCTTGGGGAGATTCATAACCATTGTGTCTGATCTCCCAAGCATCTTGTGCCCCAAGCAAAGCCTTCATACGGAGACACCAATTCTCATAATTATCTTTTGTAAGATGAGGGAATTGAAATGGAAACATATCATTGTTGGTCATCTTCACTTATTATCGGAATACCACTTGTTGGGATATGGAAGTATGAAACTTAAACTTGGAGAGAGGAAGATGAAAATATAAGAAGAAACTTTGGAATTTAATTGATTTACTTCATCACTTATGATCATACATAGGATTGTAAGTAATTATTAGAATGATTACAAAACTATTGATAACACCTTTTCATCATACATAATCATGTCTATTCACCATGAATAAGCATATTCATTCATGATGAATAGTTACACACTATCATTATAATAAACCAATGAAAAGACAATTATTCATAGAAATATTTAAATTAAATATTCAACACTCTGTATTTGTTGAAAACATCTAAAGATTGAATAAAATTGATAAGCTATAAAGCTAACGTTGGGGCTTTTCTCTTTATTACCATTCAAAAGGATACATAAATTCATCCTTTTTATTTGTATGTTTGCCACAGTGTGAGAACAAACATGATAACAGCATAAATTTGAGCAGCGACGGCCCAAGGCTTAGTGAAATAGTTGTGCACATAGTATGCTCGCCATCGAGGCCACCACCGTTTGCAGTGATGATCGAGTTTTTCGCTAAGTTCAGAATAGTAGAATTCCTTGACATAAGTATCATTGTAAAGATTATTGAAAAACTGGGTTGAGTCAGCCAAACTCAACCAGTTATCGAAGATGTCGCTCTTGCATAGTATCTCCATGTCATTGTTGGTGTCGATAAGGTTATCCAGGAGCTTGGCATAGCAAGTAAATATCGGCGGACAATGCGGCAAGCATTGCTCATATGCGATTAGATTCCGGAATATCGTTTGTGTCGTCTCCTGGATAAGCAATGACGGGATTTCGAGACAACCATCCGTAAACTTTATGACCAAGATGCTATCTGGTGCAACTTTCTTGAATTTTACTCTAGCTTCTTTGAGCTTAGTGATGGAATGAATCGGTTGCCATTCGGTCGTCGGCTTGTTTTTGGTTTCCTGGGATGGTAACACCAGGGATAATCTTAACAAATCAAGAATGTGTTTGATATCTTGGTCTTTGAAACAGGATGCTTTTATAGAAAGTAGATGAGAAATGAAGGTATTAGCAAAGAACGTAAGGGCAAGTTCAGTCAAGGACTTGGATTCATCAGGGAGCCTGGTCTTTTCAAACAAGATTTCAAGCACTGACCAAGGGATTTGATTCTCTAGCGACAACGAAGACACCATCGAGCAGCATTGTTTTAACGAATTCACCACCCAGTTCTGCTGCAAAGTCATGGCCTGCATAACAAGCACTGGCCTGTTTCTCAATTGACTTAACGACATTAATCAAATCAGATAAAACTTTCTGTTCTTCAACCTCCTTGGATTCTCGGGACATCGTCCCGTGACGACCTGTAATCACCCTGGAAAGGCAAGCTTTCAAGTACTTGATTTTGATTCTCTCTGCGGCTACCAAGTTCTCTTTGCCGCGATGCATCGGGCCAATGGCGAAACAGTTGGGGACAAATGAGTTTTTGTTGTGCCTGAGGAGTATTCTTGGGATGTTGAAGATGCAGTAGCTCTGGGGCATGGATAAACGAGCATCCCTCAACTCAACATTCAGAGAAGATACCAAATATCCAACATCGATCACAACGTTTTCATTCGATCTTCCACTTTCTGCTGCCATCTTGTAGCCTGTAGAAAGATATTATAAGCTGTAAAACAAAAGGCAAAAAAGGTAGAAATTTGAACTCTTTCGACATTAAAATGCTTGGAAAAAATTACTAACGAAAATATTCAAAACCTTATTGAACAAAGTTGAAAACAAAGTTGAAGAAGACAATCACTTGTAGCTATCATGATTTGTGGGGTAGCCATTAATTTATACATGTTAAAACAACGAAGTTCATATTTCAAACAGATGGGGCAGAATGTGTGAGTATGTTGGAAAATAATTTACAGATAGTTAAAGCATATCCCATGTCATGCTTCTATGCATATGCTCATGTGACAGAGAATAAAGCACAGATTATAGTATGACAAAGTTACAAGAAAATGTGTGAGCAGTTCCTTTAGGAATTAGTAATCCCTTGCTTCATCTGTAATATCATTGAGTCGTCTCGATCATGGGCTAACATCTTTCCAATGACAGTTCTCGAATCACCCTCGATGACTACACACTGAAACCGCTAGCTGCAACGACCTACAACAAACCTTTACCTCCACTCAAAAAGTATCCATTCTGTTAGGTGGCATCAAAGTTGAACTTAACACTCTTAATGGGCGGAAACCGCTATTGTTGCACAACCTGGTTGCAGTGTTGACCATTCTGTTCGGGAGAGACACCGAACAGCTATGTTCATCTTCTATGCTCTTTGCTATAACTTACATTAATTCACCGGATTAAATTGGTATAAAAATGATATCGGAATTGCGGGGATCTGTTTAAATGGAAGTTTGCCATGCTTCAAGTAACCCAACATTCACACATGTTTTCTGAACAGAAAAATACATCAAACAAACATAGGAAACAAATTGTGGCATCAGAATATTTCTCCGAAGCAGCATGTTTAATCTGCTTGATCAAATTTCGGAACAATATTGCAGGGGTCTAAACAGGATCCTTACCCTTCAACTTCAAAAAAATTGGTAATTTATGGTATTTAATGTTGAATTGGGGTATCCTTTTTTATATAGGTTTGCCACACCGTGAGAAAAAGCATGATAACAGCATAAATTTGAGCAGCAATAGCCCAAGGCTTTGTGAAATAGTTGTGCACATAGGCTGCTCGCCATCGAGGCCACCACCTTCTGCAATGACTATCGAGTTTATCGCTAAGTTCCGAATAATAGAATTCCTTGATATAAGTATCATTGTAAAGATTATTGAAAAACCGGGTTGAATCTTCGAGACTCAGCCAGTTATCAATTATCTCATTCTTGCACAGTATCTCCATGTCATTGTTGGTGTCGATAAGGTTGTCCAGGAGCTTGGCATAGCAAGTGAATATAGGTTGACAACGTCCAAAACACTGCTCGTATGCGATCAGGTTCCGGAAGATCGGTTCGGTCGTCTCTTGGATAAACAACGACGGGATTTCGAGACAACCATTGTTAAACTTTATGTCCAAGACGGTATCTGCTGTGCCTTTCTTGAATTTTACGCCAGCTTCTTTGAGCCTTGTGACGGAACGAATCGGTTGCCATCCGTTTGTCGGTTTGTTTTTGATTTCTTGGAACGGTTACACCAAGGACAATCTTAACAAATCAAGAATATGCTTGATATCTTGATCTTTGAAACGTGATGTTTGTACAGGAGGTGGATGAGAAGTGAAGGTATTAGCAAAGAACAAAAGGGCAAGTACAATCAGGGACTTGGTTTCATTAAGGAGACTGGTTTTTTCAAACAACAGTTCAAGCACTAACCAGGGGATTTGATTCTTAAGCAAGATCAGATCATGGTACAGATATTGCAGCATACATGACATGGAGAAAATCGGGTCACCGTGCTCCTTGACCTTTTCGGAATCTTTACGGAACAGCTCGATAACGAAGACACCATCGAGCAGCATTGTTCTAACGAATTCATCACCCAATTCCGCAGCAAAATCATGGCCTGCATAGCAAGCACTGGCCTGTTTCTCAATAGACTGAACAGAATTAATCAAATCAGATAAAACTTTCTGTTCTTCAACCTCCTTGGATTCTTGGGACATCGTCCCGTGACGACTTGTAATCACCCTGGAAACACAAGCTTTCAAGTACTTCATTTTGATTTTCTCAGTGGCTACCAAGTGGTTTTTGCCACGGTGCACTGGCCCAATGGAGAAACAATTGGGGAGAAATGAGTTTTCGTTGTGCCTGAAGAGTATGGTCGGGATGTTGAAGATGCAGTAACTTTGGGGCGTCGATAAACCAGCATCCCTCAGTTCATCCTGCAGAGAAGCCAACGATCCTACATCGATTAGAACGATTTCGTTCGATCTTTCCCTTGCTGCTGCCATTTTCAAGCCTGCAAACAAGTTGGAACAACCAAGTTCTTATTTCAAAGAGATGGATGAATGAGTGAGTGTATTGGAAAAGATTGTAGAGATAGTTAAAGCATGTCCCATGTGGAATGATATCAAGGAATCAAAGGGGAGATGTTCATGCGACACTAAGAATAAAACAAACTATACAGTAAGATAAGTGGAAAGAAAGTATGCGCTGAGTTCCTCTGGCTCAGACTGAAGCAAGCACATACTGATCCCTTGCTTCAGTCTGAGCCATTCAGGATTCCAAGGCCTAAAGGGTTACATTACTACATCATTTGATTGGCCTTATGCACTGTAAAGAAACAAAAAGAAAGAGAAAAAGGGCTCGATTTTCAGCTGGCAACCGGCAAGGTTCCTTCATCTTTTGCAGACCAAACCATCTGATCTTAGCTTTAAATTCTTTATAAATTAGTCTTCACAATTCAAGAGAAAGGATGATCATTTAAGAATCAGAATGCTTTATTTCCAGGGTGGGAAAAGTGGAAAGTTTCACTTAACTATCATACATTGATCGACAAGTTTTTCGAGATCGGTGGATGGATCATACATTGATCTGTTCAAGCTCTTGCAAACCTCTACTTTTAGTTCCAATTGCAAGTTGTGTATGTTGTATATGTTGAAAAACTCTAAGACTATTGTCGAAACCGTTTTTCTCCAAAGGGGGAAAAGGGGCATCGTTTCGAAAATAATTCTTTTGTGACCGGTTTACGATAAAATGTGATTCGAGGAGTTGCCACTAATATTTGATTAGGGTGTGATTGGGCACCAAAAACGTATTTGTCATTTTAATAAAATATTAATTTTAATTAAAAAAATAAACTTGTGGTATGCGTTACCAAAATTCGAGTTCAGGAGTTAATTACGTGTGGGAAATGATTAAAACCCCCACAACGCCCTAAATCGATACCTAGTCGATTAATTAATTGTCTTTGTAATAAAATTTACAAGTTCAAGTTTAATTTAATTTAAGATCCCCTAGAAATAATTTTTTTTTTGAATTTTTG